CAATTTGGGTTTCTCTGTCATCATATTTGTGTTCTTTATTTACTGCTTTCATATTTATTGTTTATTATATAAACTACGGTATTCAAAGATAGACTAAATTGACTTGCATGATTAACCATCTAAAAACTAGTTAAAAGTGACTTGTTGCTTTGATTAGTATTATTCCGCACGTAAGGTCGAACTTGTTATTAAAAAACATTTCTCAATTGGTATCAGATTTTAATTGGTAGAGAACTATGCATATTGTATTTTTCAGTAAGAAAAAAGGATCATGCTACATGTACCAATTTTTTTACCGAATCTTTTACATATTACTCACAATGGAGGTGGGGACTACATTATCAGAATTTTTAAATACACGCGGGCCCTGTGCTTGAGATGGGATAATCCATTATGTCCAAACGATTTTGAACAAATAGATTAACCCAAGTAAGAAACATACCACTTTAGATGTCACTCATGAAAAGAAAAACATAGAGACTATGGCATATTCATTGTCTTGACTTTGTTTTTCCTCGGTGTTTTTGCATGTGCTCTACTCGTCCAAAAGTCATCAAAAAAATAGAATAAAATTGGAAATTTACTTCCTAACGTAACAATCAATAGCAAATTGAAAGAAGGAAACATACATCCTGCTAAATAAATAAAACAAGCATAAAAGAAATCCTAGTTGTGATATTAGTTTTACAAAAAAACCAAAAAAACACTCCTTCCACCCCCATTTATATAGATTGATTTTTCTTATTTTCTTGTTTCAATTATATAGTCTTATTTCTTTATTAAGAATGTTTTTTTTATTCGTTTACTAATATACTCTTATTTGATTTGTCTAATTATAATCAAATTTCATCACTTAATCTTAAACTTGTACAAATATAAAGATACATCTTGAAAATTAAATCACTCAATTTCTTTACTACTTACAACAATAATCGACTACTAGTTGTTGATAATTAAATAAGGGTAAATTAGGAAAATTTTTGCAAAAATTGTTTTTTCAATAAAATTAAATAAAATTTCTTAATCTCTGTGGAAAAAAAAAAACAGCATATATAAATGAGACGAATGAAGTAATATTTTTTTTTTCTTAATTTTACCAATTTATCATTGCACACACATCAACTGCAAATATGACACTTAATAGACATACATAGTCATGAAGATTTAGCGCATAAGTGCTATTAAAATCTACTAAGTCGGCATAAGAAAAATGAGCAAGAGATCATTAGTCCATTAAAAATGATAAAGAACAAGCAATAGTAAAAAGGAAAGTGGAAGGCCAACTTCAGGGCCGGCCCTGGCCCAAGGCGACTAAGGCAGTGGCCTTGGGCCACAAAATTTTTGGGGCCTCAAAAAAAAAAAAAAACAAATACAGTCAATTGGGCAGAAAATATTTAGTGGCCTTAACAAAAAGCCCCAACCCAAAAAGCTCAATAAAAACCCTCAATATCCTTACAACCATAGTCTTAATTTTGCACTTTGTGATATGACCACTTGTTGTTCAAAAGCTGCATCNAGCTAAGAGATAGAATTTTCACTTTAAATATTTCCTTAATTGGGTATTGAGCATCTAGCCCAATGGACTGATTTCCTCCAAATACCCAATAAGATTTGGGCTACAAACGTTTGTGGTGTGGATTCAACATTCTTCAATCTCGGGCTGATAGCCTATGAAGTTAAACGGGCCACGATTTTTCATCATCGCCTAGGGATTAATTTGGGCATCACAAAAATACCCAACAATTAATTTTTTTACTCCTTTCAAATGATGAGAAGACATTGGAGGGGAAACAAAATATTGTATGTGCTTGGAACATGTCTTCCAAACATCTAGCTTTTATAGGTAAAAACTAAACATTTTCATTTGCCATGTACGTGAACTTAATTTTTAGAGACATTAAGTTTCACTAAAACTTTTGGGCTTCCCTAGATTCAAATAATACTTTGATTAGTGTCTTTTGATTTTTCTTACCACATACAATGTACATATTTTATATTGAAAAGCTCTCTCTAAAATAGTAAATATTTATTTATCGATAAATGAACAATTTATTCATTTATCGATAAATAAATAACCTCCCCAAATGAATATTTTTTCCGGTTCCGAGAGTATTATTTTATCGAGGTTTAACTGTAAGACAGAATCATTGCTTTACATAACATGCACATCCTAATCTTGGTAAAGTATGTATGTCATATACTAAACAATTATTGAAAGGAATTTTAGGGTATATAGTTACACCTACAGAAATATGAAATCACTATACATGATTACAATTTTTTTTCTTACCTTGGATCTTACCGTTATTGTGGAAAACGTCTACCTTTCATTTTTTTGGCATTTTCACCTTTATTTTCATCATTCATTACGCAAAAAGTCATTTTCATCAATTTTCTCAATTAAAAATTGTAAAATGACGAATATACCATTCTTTTTAGATAAAAAGAAAAAGAAAAAGAAAAAATCTATTGCAACAGTCCCATATTTTTTTAAAAAATGCAAATGAGTCCTCAAATACATTATTAAAAGGGTAACTAGCACATAATATCTCTAACTTTCATTATTATAGCGGAAAAGTTCATACCTTTTTTTTTTGCATTTTCACCCTTAATTACATATTTGTTTTCGCAAATCATCATTTGTATTCATTTTCATCTAATTTCTCAATAAGAGTTCATCATGATGAATATACCCTCCTATTTCAAAAAAAGTTAAAGAAAATTGTTTTTTTAATTTCTAGTTTTTAATAATTTATTTGGGATTCGTTTGCACAATTTAAATTTTTAATAAATTTAATTGGGACTCATTTGCACTTAAAAAATATCTAATTTCTTTAATAATTTATTTAGGACTAGTTTGCACTTTTTTTAAAAAAAATAATAATAAATTTCAACTTTTTAATGATTTATTTAGAACTCATTTGCACTTTAAAAAAAATTGAAACTATAGTTGCAATTAATTCTTTAGCTTTTTATTTAAATAGCATGGTATATTCATCATTTCAATGCTTTTTATTGAGAAATTGACTGAAAATAGATAGAAATGATAGTTTGCTCAATCAAATGAATAATTAAGGGTGAAAATGTAAAAAAAAATTATTGACTTTTTTCGCAATAATAGTGGAAGATGAGGACATTATGTGCTAATTACCATTTTAATAATTTACTTGAGGACTCATTTGCTTTTTTTTTTTTTTTTTTAAAGTTAGGATTATGGTTGCAATTAATTTTTTTTNTTTTTTTTTTTTTTTAAAGTTAGGATTATGGTTGCAATTAATTTCTTTTCTTTTTTTTTTTTAATTTAAAAATGAGGGTATATTCGTCATTTACAATTTTTAATTGAGAAAATGGATGAAAATAACATTTTTGCGCAATGAAATGTGAAAATACTAAAAATATGAAAGATAAAAATATTTTCCACAATAGTAGAGAAAGGTAGTGACGTTTCGTGCTATTTTCCCTTTCTCAAAATATACCTCTATTTAAGGCTTAAAACCAAATTCCCCATTATTTTACTGGTTGGTCCACCATATAGCGTAGAAGACGCAGTACCCGAACATTACCAATTAGCGAAACCCGTGCTATGATTGGTTGAATGATGTGTTCACCACCCAGGCGGTGATCTGGTGCTTTCGGGACTAATTGTACTTATATTTTTGAAAATTCTACTCAGATTTCACACGTGGACGGCTTAGATCATTCTCCCTTCGTCTCTTAACCACGAAGAAAGCAGAAACCACCAAGCAGTTTCTCCCCCGCCCCCCGCGCCTTACACCACCCTAAACCCCAACTCTCAACCCCAATAAATTGCAAAGCCGCGGTGTGGGACGTTCAATTCTCGAAACTCAATCCGTAACCGATCTCTTCATTTTGGGTTTTGTGTATTACGAGGGCTCTAATGAATGATTTCGTAGTGGTTGAAGATGAGCAAATCGATTGGAACCTTCTAATTGACAACATACCAGATGATCTGAATTTTGAATTCTTGGATGAGCCCGTGAGGGAATTGTCGAATCCCTTGAACCCTTCACCGGATTCGGATTCATTGTCGATCGAGGACATAGAGCAGCTGCTCATGAACGATGACTCCAATGTAGCCCTGCACGATCACGAACAGGTTTCTGCGGATGGCTTTCTTACGGACGTACTTCTAGATTCTCCTGCGGCTTCCGATCTGTCTGATGAATTGATTGATGGTCCCGAAAAGGATTCTTCTAGCCCATTGTCTTCGGAAGAGGATAAGGATAAGGAGACCCATGATAGCCAGGCGGAAGCTCTAGAGAAGCAGAACGACGATGTCCATGTTGTGGATGATGATGATCCTGGTGCCAAAAAACGCAAAAGGTACTTCAGATGAACCCTCAGTTTTTAATTACTGTAATTATTTATTGCTTCTGTTGTTATTTTATTGTTGACTGATTTGATTTAGTTATTATTATTATTATTATTATTATTTTGTTACTTAGAATTAGCTGAATCAAAAACTTACCTTCATAAAGTTGAATTAAGACATCAAAAAGTTACCTTGTATTTGGATTTGCGGTTTTTTACAATTTCTGTAATATTGTGACGTGCATTAGATCGTGTAAGATACAATTATTACAACTTTATTTAAGTAAGTTTTGAGGAACTGGAATTTTATTATTGGTTATAACAAAAAGAATGAGCAAAGGAAAAAGATCCAGAGCAGAAAGAGTTGTAGAGAAAATGTTTTCTTGTATTATTTTCTCATATATTCTCAATGATACAGTACACGTATATGTAGGGATTGAAGGGAGAATATTCTAACTAATTCTATCTATAAAAAGGCAATGATACCCTTTATGTACAACTCAGAAAAAGAAACAAGAAAATAACAGAATGCTAGAAACAGAATTGGTAATGCTTATGTGGCTGCAACATCCTTTTCCCTCTTGGTGTGTTGTTGTGATTTATTCTCCAATACCCCCCCGCAAGATGGAGCGTAAAGGTTTACGATTCCCATCTTGGATGAGTGAAAGTGAAGAACTTTAGAGGGCAATGCTTTCGTCATCATGTCGGCAACCTGAGCTGAGATGGGAACATAAGAGGTGGAAATGCTGCCATCTAGGATTTTGTCTCTAATTAAGTGGTAGTCCAGCTCGATATGTTTGGTACGTTCGTGGAATACGGGATTTGCAGCAATATGTATGGCGGCTTGGTTATCACAATAGAGTAGAGCTGCTTGAGGATGATGCACTTGAAGATTAGTCAGGAGGAATCTAATCCATGTTAATTCAGAACAGGTAGCTGCCATTGAACGATATTCTGCTTCGGCCGAGGATCGAGAGACAACAGCCTGCTTCTTGGACTTCCAAGAGATTAAGGAAGAACTAAGGAACACACAATAGCCACTGACGGATCTTCTGGTATCTGAACATGAAGCCCAGTCAGAGTCACAGTAGGCCTCTAATTGGAATGAGGATGAACGAGGAAGGAACAGTCCCTGGCCAGGAGCAGCCTTGAGGTAACGAAGCACTTTCTGTGCTGCCAGGAGATGAACATCAGTTGGAGCAGCCATGAATTGACTTAAATGTTGAACGCTGAAACAGATGTCAGGTCGAGATATAGTGAGATATAAAAGGCGACCAATCATTCGTCTATAAATACTAGGATCAGACAATGGGATTCCAGTAGACTGAGATAATTTTAGATTCTGCTCCATGGGAACCTTAGCTGTGTTGCTGCCGAGAAGTCCCGAATCTGCCAAAATATCCAGTGTGTATTTACGTTGACAAAGATAAATCCCTTTGGAGGTTTGAGCTATCTCAATACCAAGAAAATACCGAAGTTTGCCAAGGTCTTTTATTTGAAATTTGCTAAGTAAAAGCAATTTCAAGTCATGAACAGAGGTGAGGTTATTGCTGGCTACCAAGATGTCATCAACATATACAAGAATAGCTATGAAAGTACCATTAATATCTCGGGTAAACAGACTGTAATCAGCCTTGGATTGAGAGAATCCCGAGTTGATCAAAACAGCAGAGAGTTTAGAATACCACTGTCGTGAGGCTTGTTTGAGGCCATATAAACTTTTGAGTAACTTGCAAACTTGGTTTGGAGAGCCTTTGGTATATCCAGGAGGTTTATTCATGTAGATCTCTTCATGTAAATCCCCATGTATGAAGGCATTATTGACATCAAAATGATGTAGATGCCAACCTTTAACCGAAGCAATGGCAAGAAGACAACGTACTGTGACTAATTTTGCAACTGGAGAGAAAGTTTCCTGATAGTCCACCCCTTCAAGTTGAGTGTAACCTTTAGCCACCAATCTGGCTTTGAACCTTTCAACACTCCCATCCGAATTATACTTAATCTTATAAACATACTTGCAATCAATTGGAATTTTTCCATGAGGCAGATCAGTGAGTTGCCAAGTATTATTTGCTTCCAAAGCAGCTAGCTCAATGTCCATTGCTTTGCTCCAGCCTGGGTCCTTAAGAGCTTGTTTGTAAGTCTTGGGTTCAGTGTGTGAGGAGATGGTGGCTGAAAAAGCTCGATAGGTGGGTGAGAAGGCATGATAAGAGAGGGTGTTTTGAAGTGAAAAAGGCTTACCTGAAGAAGGCCGTAGCTGCTCGTTCAACTCTGGAATGGGTGCAGTCAGGACAGTGCTTTGGCAATGAAAATCCTGCAAGTATTGAGGGGCACTTCGAGTTCTAGTTGACCTGCGGAATGGAAGAGGTAAAGGAGCAGGAATGGAGGATGAAGATGGGGATGATGATGGGGAAAGAGGGAGAGGTGAATGAGAGACATGTGGAGGGATAGTTATAGGTTGTTGTGAAGGTGAAGAATTTGTAACTGGTATAGAATGTGGGAGGTTTGAAAAAACAGGTGGTGAAGAAGAAAGAATGGAAGAAGGAGAGGAATGAGTGAGATGGAAAGGGAAGATGGATTCATGAAATTTGACATCTCGAGACAGAAAAATATGTCCAGTTTGTAAGTCAAGTAACTTATATGCCTTGACACCGAATGGATAGCCTAAGAATACACATGCTTTTCCTCTAGGATCAAACTTTTTCCTGCCATGAGATAAAGTGGAAGCATATGTAAGGCAGCCGAAGACCCTCAAATGGTTGTACTTTGGAGGCTCATTGAAAAGGACTTCATATGGTGTTTTATTTTGTAAAAGGGGGGTGGGGGTTCTATTTATAAGATAGACTGCTGTGAGTACACAGTCAGTCCATAAGTTTTGTGGAAGATTTGATTGGAATTTCAAAGCACGAGCGACGTTCAAGATGTGTTGATGTTTTCGTTCCACTCTCCCATTTTGTTGAGGAGTCTCTACACAACTCCTTTGATGTATAATTCCTTTATTTTGAAAAAAATCTCTCATAAAGAATTCGGGTCCATTGTCACTACGAATGATTTTTACTTTAGATTGGAATTGTGTTTCAATTAAGTTGCAAAAAGATAGAATACAAGATTTAGTGTCTGATTTATTTTTAAGTAAATAAACCCAAGTCGTTCGAGAATAATCGTCAAGGATAGTGATAGCCTAAGAATACACATGCTTTTCCTCTAGGATCAAACTTTTTCCTGCCATGAGATAAAGTGGAAGCATAGGTAAGGCAGCCGAAGACCCTCAAATGGTTGTACTTTGGAGGCTCATTGAAAAGGACTTCATATGGCGTTTTATTTTGTAAAAGGGGGGTGGGGGTTCTATTTATAAGATAGACTGCTGTGAGTACACAGTCAGTCCATAAGTTTTGTGGAAGATTTGATTGGAATTTCAAAGCACGAGCGACATTCAAGATGTGTTGATGTTTTCGTTCTACTCTCCCATTTTGTTGAGGAGTCTCCACACAACTCCTTTGATGTATAATTCCTTTATTTTGAAAAAAATCTCTCATAAAGAATTCGGGTCCATTGTCACTACGAATGATTTTTACTCTAGATTGGAATTGTGTTTCAATTAAGTTGCAAAAAGATAGAATACAAGATTTAGTGTCTGATTTATTTTTAAGTAAATAAACCCAAGTTGTTCGAGAATAATCGTCAAGGATAGTAAGAAAATATCGAGAGCCATCATTCGCAATGTTGGAGTTAGGGCCCCATATGTCACAGTGTATGATATCAAAGGCATGTAAAGAAGAGTGCTGAGATAATGAAAATGGTAAACGTTGCTGTTTTGCCAAAGGGCAAATCGAACAAGGGATATGATTGTGAAATTTTAAATTGTTTCTTACAATTGGATCTGTGATTAAAACTAATTTGGAAATGGGAGTATGGCCAAGTCGGTAATGCCACAAATCTGAAGTGGAATCCATGTGAATGGCAGATGCAAAAATGGATGAGTCTGGTTGGAGGAAGTTTGGCCAAGTATCAACTAGCGCTGATAAAGACCATCTCTGACTTCACCCATTCCAATCGTCGTCCAAGAGGCTAAGTCCTGGAGAAAACAAGAATTTGATAGAAAAATTAGACAGCAGAAATTATCCTGGGCAAGTTTCTTGGCAGACAACAGGTTAAAATTAAAAGAAGGCACACACAAAACATGGTTGAGAGTTAAATGATCAGAAATCCTTACTACACCGGTATGTGTAACAGGGACAGCATCTCCATTAGGTAATTTAACTTGATAACAAACAGAGGATGTTATAGAGGTGAAAAGAGAGGTGCAACAGATCATGTGATCTGTTGCTCCTGTGTCAATTATCCAAGGCGGGGTGGGTGACTTTGGAGTATGCTGCATGTGAGTGGAAAAGCAAGAAGTCATACCAGAAACTCGTGAGGAGCTGACTTGAGTAGTGTGTGGGATAGGAGCAGGTTGAGCTACTGTAAGGGAAGCCATGGCAGAGCTGCTATCCTTGGAATGCAAAAGAGTAAGTAATTGCTTGTACTGACTCTTGGTAAGAGCCAGTGTTTCAGTAGAGTCTTCATCATGATTACTGTCTAGTTGGCCTTGAGAATGGGTGGCAGCTGCTACAAAGGGTTTGGTTTTTCCATGAAGTTTATGGCCAGG